AACACGGAACTTTTTCTCATCCTTCGGGCTTTTGACATTGCTATATTATAAAAAAAATATAAAACATTTGTCCGTATTGATATATAGTTATATCAACATGGAAAATGTTTTATATTTGTTAAATGTTAATATATAAACAGTTAGGACCTGTGGCAGGGACAGTCCCAAGTCAAAGACCATGTGCAAGACTTGTCTGCGTCGTAAATAGATCTAACTAAGATTGAATATTTATGCTTGAGATAACATTTAAAAGAACTAGGTCTAGAGAAACTGTCAAGAGATACTTCTTGAGATACAGTGTTCCAGATATTGACAATTAATTATATTGACAAATAATTATGCTCTTAGGTCTGACTTAGTTAAGCTGATATAAATAAACACAAATATAAAACCTGTATATACAGGAATATACAGTTCGCTTCGATCGTCGGACACCAATGCTTGCATACAAATTTTATCCCTTTCACAATCTTTGTTTTATTTTATCGTATAGTCGCAATTTTCAAGTATTCAGGGTATTCTGAAACTGGAAAACTCGGTGGCATGACAAATCTTGTAGAGATTACATCGGCCTAGGTGTAGAGCTATTAAGTAAACCAGGCCTAAATTAATTTAATAGTTTCATTTAATTGTTTGTCTTTTCATTTAATTGCTTTTATTTGTGTCGATCAGTATAGAATATTGTAAATTAAAATATTACTACAATGCAATACGCATAGTATTTCATCCGACATCTGCACTACATTATAAATACTGAAAACTACACAGTAGTCTACCGACTATAAAGTAGACGTTTCTTGTTTTTCCAGGAAACGTCACAGCTCACATCAACATAGCTTTTGAGTTTTGTAACCGGCTGAGCCGAAAGTAGCTAAATCATGCAGTCGGGAAAACCGAAAACTACTTTGAAAGATTATTTTGCAAAATACACTCGTACACACAAGAATCATAAAAATATATATGTTGAAATTGTTATTGTCAACTGTCAAGTTCAGCTATTTTTAGACAATATGGTGTTAGCCAATCACAATGCAAAATTGACCGGCCCAGACCAGGGCTTTCTCGTCTCTCTGCCTCGCCCTCATACAAAACCCCTGGGAACGAGGTTGCGTAAATTATTCTATGTGTTCAACATGTGAATTACGAGAACTACCGCCACCCGCTACGCACGCACTACCCGTCACCCGCTACCCGTCACCCGCGGAAAATACCTGCCGTTGATAAATCGCTCAAAATTATTAAACTAATTATAAAAAATACAGTACGTTTTATCCTTGATAACTTTGGTATCATTGGTTTTCTCTTTTTCGGCCGTATACCAGTGGATTCGTCTCTCTCCAGTCTTCATTTTGATAGTATTTTGAGCTCAAAAATCTTTTATTTTGAACGTTTTAAAGCGCAGTTTAATCCTAGGCCTAGCGTACGGACCAACTGGCGGCGGCTGGCAGTTCTTGAAGAAGGATTGCAGCGTACTAATCAACCTTACAAGCCAGGGTCTTTCAGCCTGCGCTGCGAGGTTGAATATAACTTTACTTGTAGTGTAGGGTAGGGCCTACCGCATTTTAGTACTGTGTTAAGCCTTTCGCGCTCGTTTTCGACTTTTCCGCTATGTATTGGTGTGTGATGTACAGTAATGTGCGTATTTGTAATTTTGTATAGCCCCAGCGAGTTAACGCTCCGTAGAGCGTCTTGTTTAATTTAATTTGCAACGTTTTAAATGTCCGTCTTCAGGCGACAAACTGAAGACGGACATTTAAAATGTCCGAAACGTTGCAAATTAAATTAAATTAAATTAACCTTTTGTATAAATCCTTGAGAAATAAAAATAAGTAATAAGCCATTATATACTGTTTAAGATAGAATGAGATATGGACAAACTGTAAGGCATATTTACACGATACGACTAGTCGCATATGCGATTATGTCATTCTGGCATATGAAAATGACTGCTGACGCTATTATTTCTGTTCATCAGTTAATGGCGAAATTTAAAAATGTTATATCTTTACATGCATGTAGGCATTATTCGGGTACATAATCCAGGATAAGAATACGACTAGTCGTATCGTGTATATAGATGGGCCTTTAAAGACCACTACTGTATATAAGCACATACCATGATCACTTAGACTTTTAATTTTACTTTCAAGTGCTCGTTTTTCATGTTTCTCATCCTCAAAATTCTTCAAAATCTCCTGTTTGTCTTGCTCGTGCTCATCTTCTACTTGAAGATATTTCTACAAGAACGATATCCATCCGTTATTTATCTATACCAAAAAACATGGTTACACGTCCTACGTAATTCTGAGGCTACATCACTACTACCGAGTTGTAGGAAATAGGAAACAGATGTTTTAAGCATGATGAGCTATTGGATGAATTATGCTATATAAATTTATGGAATGAAGAAATATTTCCGTACATATATTTATTATGAAAATATTATTAGACTTGAATTATTGAATTTGGACAATTGGAGAGTAAAAGCCCCAAATTTTCATGCCCTGTTACCTGGTGCTAAATGATGGTACAATCATATAGACGCATATAAAAAACGGGCGGGTGGGGGGGAGGGGGGTGAGACGAACTAAGGGAAAGTTCTCATGCCTAGGCAATTAAAATTATATACAATTGCGAGACGTGAAAAATTTCTCAATTCTGATTGGCTAAGAGCAGTGCAATTTTTTCGAAATACAGTGCCAAAAAATGAAATACAGTGTAAAGAAAGAAATATAGTGCAAATTTTCTTAATTTTTTATTTTTCAAGGTAGAGGAGACAAAGGTAGAGGAGATAAAGGTAGCAACAAATGTATATACCATATATTAATTTATGTTGAATTTGTAGGATTATATGGTGAAGGGATTGGCATAGCCCTTTTGCAATTTGATCCAAATTTCCCCAGGGGCCCTATGTGACATAATAAAAAAGCATGTCATGGGACAAAAGACCCCCAGAAACATTACAAATGTGTGAATAACTGTGTATAATTTTATAGGGATTGTGAGTTTCCCTTTCTGGAGTGAAATATTGGTAGATTTACAGGATATATTATTATTATTATTATTATTATTCAAAGATTGAAAGAAACTAGTGACATTCCAAGAGAGGAAATTACGCAAATTAGTGAATGTTCTCAAAGTGGTAAAGAAAATGTTTAGTAAATGTGATGTTGAGAACATTGAACTTTTTTGAAAAGGATGCAGACAGAAGATAGTAATTGTGATTTGGATATATATTTGTGAGGTTGTACAATGAGGTCCTTTTCATGATTGAGACGTCAGGCTTTAACTTATCCCACATACATGAAAGTAAGGTTCTACAGCCAAATTGATATACTTTCCAGAAGGGTGTTTTCAAATTATTATTTAATTAGCCTGTAAAGAATTTGACATAAAATAGACACAAACTTATCCTGCCTACCCAGGTCACAAAAAGGCAGGGCCCGACACGATTTTGAACCTGGGGAAAAGGTTTACAGTTTATTTGAAAAGTAAGACCTCTAAAGCTAAGAGTCCAAGTCTCCAAAATCCCCAAACCTTGACTAAGACCCAAAAATTTTATTAATTAAACTACAATAAGCATGGTCAATTGAGAGGAATCCTAAAATCCAGTTCCCCATCCTATTCCTAATACACCCTTTCAGAAAGTGCAAAGTTTTGGCGAAAGAGCCTCGTCTTCGTTTTTGTAAATTGTTGCCTGTAACAAGATAAATCCCTTTATCTTGTTACGGGCGGCACATTTACAAAATCATAAGTTATATCAGTGAATATATGTTACGGTACTGTAAAGTGTCATTTGGTAAAAAATATTGTATTTCCTTCATGAGATTGGTCTTAAAACTGTAGTAAACCTTGGTTTTTATGGGTTTTTCCAGGGAAATATGGTTTGGTTATAAATTAAAATCAAATTAAGTTTGAAAGAACAGAACATGGTTTTCTGTGCATGTGTGCACCAATTGATTGAATAGAGAAATAACATGTAAGGAACTATATTCTAAATTCATGGCTGCTGCATTAAAACAATATTTTGAATTGAGCAAAGCAAATAATAAGCCCATCAAAAAATGCTTGCAAACTTATATAAGCCCAGGACTTATAATCAAAGGTTCACAGTATTGTACTTTTTTTATTCAAAAATATCAAAAAAATTGAAGAAGATAAACCTAAATTTTTGAACAATTGGTACTTGTTTAACTTACTATCAAAAATAATATTATATATTTGTGCTGTTCTATTTGTTGTTCAAGCCTTGTTAATTTGTCAACCGTAACCAAATGTTGTTCGAACAAGCGTGAACAATATTGTTGACAACAGTTGTTGATAGGGTGCAGCACAACATTGCTGCATCCTGTTATGAACAACACAGAACAAGTTGTTTGTGTGATGTTACTCTGAGTGTATATCCACACCGGGCAGGCTTGAAAAATATGCCTGGCCACGGCGGGATTCGAACCTGAGTACATTACACCAACACAGCAGATTTCATGATTATTAGATTACACTGATATCGAAGGAACTAGACTCAGTTTCGAAATATCGCATACTCGAACCGTCCTGACCGCGTAGCTCAGTTGGAAGAGCATTGGGCTAGTATTCAAAAGGTCGTAGGTTCGAATCCCGCCGTGGCCAGGCATATTTTTCAAGCCTGCCCGGTGTGGATATACACTCAGAGTAACATCACACAAACATCTTATTCACCTGAGTACATTACACCAACACAGCAGATTACAGAACAAGTTGTTGACATCCTGGTCATTTTCAGGCGTGTAGTGATTATCCACATGGTGAATGGTTGAATGCTGAGCTGTGACCTATGACCAAAGAACACCGGATCTGGCTGGATCTATCCCTGCTGGCAACCAAAATTCACCCCTTCCTCATTTTGCAGTGCCCCCCACTGCTTATATGGAAGCCAGTTAGTGGAACAGCTTCATAAGTGAGATCTTGCCATTAGGGGTGCACCGGATTTGGAATTTTCAAATCCGTCCGGAACCGGATTTACCGGATTTGGACAAAAATTCCGGCCGGAATTCCGGCCGGATTTGCCGGATTTAAAATAAACCGGTAATGGGGACAATTGTGGATAAATCAGTATTCAAAATGGCGATTTATGTTTTTTACTATTTTTAGTTAGTGTCAGTTTAGATTTTTGATTGTGTTTAAACCTTTTTTAAATAGTTTTTTGTTAATAACTTAATATTTTATAATAATATAAGTGTTTTTTAAACTCTAAAGCTGCCAAATTGATGGTTTATCCCATTCTTGGTGAATTTTTAAGGTGAAAACAGAAATTTAAATCCAGCCGGATTTTCTCCAAATCCGGCCGGATACCGGATGCCGGAAAATTTTTTAAATCCGGCCGGAATTCCGGCCGGATTTGAAATCCGGTGCACCCCTACTTGCCATGTAGTTACTTTATACTAATTTACTGTATGGTAGAAATTACTTTGCATTTATCCAACTGGGCTGGCCCAATTTCTGAGGTCTCATGTGAAAAAGGTGAGAGCTAGGCTGCTCACTTACTGGGATAAAAAATTCTTCATATAAAAGTTGAAAGACATGCCCAATGAGCTATTTGTAAGAACTGTAAAAACAATATCAAAGCAACAAAATCATACAGGCAAGCAGGATGAAAATTTCTCATATAAACACAAGACAAATTCATCCCACTTAAATGGCCTCTCTCATTTATAGTCCAGTCAAATCACTATAATTACATGGTCCTGATCAAAGTAATCGTAATAGTTTTTTTTCAGTGGTAAAGTGTGGGAAAAGTTGTTCTGATTAACATATTAAAAATCAAAAAAAGTCCCTTCGGTGGAACATGATGAAAATCAAGTTCTTCTTACTTCTACCTATAGAAAACCATTGCGGACAAAATGTTGAAATTTTGAAATTATTTTTTGCAAATATAACATGCATCATTGGAAAGCTTAGAAAAAACTAAAATATAGATCATGAAACGGTTATCTTGCTTTTGCCTATCCAGTCGAAGTTATACAAGATTTAAAATGCCATAAATTTGTATTTTGTGCAAATTCCAACTTTGAGCTAGAATAGCGACAAACTGACCAGTAAATTGAATATAATGGTTTAATTGACCTTAATATAGCTTTGTTTTAAGCTTTCCAATAATGTAGGTTACATTTGCCTAAAAATGATTTCAAAATTTGAACATTCTGTCCACAATGGTTTTCTATAGGTAGGTAGAAGTAAGAAAAACTTGATTTTCACCATGTTCCACCGAAGGGATTTTTTTGGATTTTTAATATGTTTAAAATCTGGACACCTTCCCTCACATTTTACCACTGAGAAAAATTCTATTGCAATTTCTTTGACCTCTGGTCACAGATTGACTGGACTATTACTGCAGACATTCCAACTTATGGACGTAAAATTTAGGGAGACTGTTCAATGAATTGAAATCTAGTTCTTCTGAGAAAAAATAATAAAAATTAAGTCTTCTGACATGGCATTTCCTGCATTTTGGGAGTATGTTGTTATAAGTGATCCTATAAATTGCCATAAAGTAACTTCATAAAAAGGTCAAGACAGACTATTATGGTGCTAAAAACAGTATATTTACGATTTTTTTACGATATTTCCTGAATATTCTGAAAAATCGGGAGAATTTTATAAAAATCGGGAGACCAGGAGATTGCATGAATTTTTGGGAGACTTCCGGGAGAGTTGGAATGTCTGTTACTGGATAGTTTTTGCACAGTTGTTGTGAATAGTTGAATTCCAAGGCACATATGAATTATTTTGAACGTCAGACAACTCATATCACTTGATATCATATTTCATAAAATGTTTTATTGGGATTCTTGGAGTAAAGAAAATGCACAAGAGTAAATTTAAGCTGCAGCAATAAAATGAATAAAACTAAAATATTCCAGCAATGATTCATTAGTCTTATAGACGCCTACGTTGTGTATAAAACAGGGTTGTGTATAAAACCCTTTCCAACTCTGGGCTTCTCAGGCCCATCCGATATAAAATACATACGATACAACATTTTAGAAGCACATGACATTCATCACTGCATGGTTGTTTATATATATATGAAATAAATTTCAAAGGGAGTTTAGCAAACCAAAGTCTCCTAGACACTACTATTCATAGAGGTATTTTCATACATAAACAAAATATCAATGATCACATTTTACAGTGAAAGAATACAACAGGAATATTACTTGTGAAACTTACATTCTCTGCAATCTTTCGTAATTGTTTTTCACGTTCGTATTGTGTTAGTAGCTGTTCATTGTCATCATTCAGTAGTTCCAAATCAACATACTGCTCGTTGTTGTCGTTATAGGCCGAGTCAAGCTGTTCGAGCACAGAGACCATCAAAGGCATGAGCCCCGAGACGACTTCTTGACCATGTTTTTGAATCATACGTTCAAATTCGGCATATATTGCTGCGGCGAGGGAAGATACACGTTCTGACAACACAGACGCGGGGCCGTCTTCTCCACTCGAATACACAACATCAGATTTTCCTACAGTATCACTGTCATCCATGATGAACTACGGATAAGACTTCTGATGGATATCGACTGCACAAACAGTCATTAAATATTCAAACGACCTACAAAAAACAAAACACAGTCTTGCGAAGCTGACATTTTCACATTTCTAAATCATCTGAGCCTTCGGTATGGTTGGAATGCGACTACAATATTTTATTGAAATCGAATTCGTCGTAATTCGTCGTCGGAAGAAGTCGAAACTCTCGGAAACTTTTCACGAACTGATCGAACAGAATCGAACAGTGTTTACTGTAAAAAATAGAAGACAAAATTATATATACATTGGATTATTGGATACATTTCGTGATAATTTCTTGTTTTATTTTGCCGTTATTTTGGCAGAAAAGAATGTCAGAATGTCAATTTTTGTTCACTTTTTCAAAGGCATGGCAAACATTGGAAAATGCAAATATCTTTTCAAGTCGAGTGTGGATAATGTATTCATAAACATGCACGAACGCCACGAAGCGTCATCGTTTCTACAATCTACATCTTATGCTGAATGGCTTCCGTTTGTAATATCTTCTGCAAAATATAAAATTTATCTTACATTCTTAAAAGAACCATGGCGAAACGTAGTGTTTTAGATCATTCAATGGTATCATATAAATGTTTAATGTTATTCTTCTTAATACCGCTTTGCTCAGGGTCTTGCCACAGCGGTCTTCCCAATCATATAATAGCTGGCAAATATTCAACATGGAAACTTTGTATCGTGAACACGTATAAAGAAACACTTCGGTTCAAGATAAAAAGTTTATTCTCGGCAAAGGATAATTCTACTGGATGGTTAAATATCGGATTTCGATCTCAAGCCAGTCAGAAGACTGATTATATTCCATTATTTTTGCTTCAAGTGAGCCCACCAAATTCAATTGCAATAAAGGTTTGTTTATGTGAAAACTTGATATTAAGTTATTAATAGTATAAAACTAGAGGCCATCAACATATAGATTTCATTGTACAATTCAAGACTGGATGTTGGTGTAAATGCTGGGGTAGGTGGAAAAATTTCTGAGGGAGGTGCAGAACCTTTAAACATGGCAGGTACAGATTTCCTGGGGTGCGCACCCCCAGAAATGATTTGCACACACACCCCAGAGGCATTTGGCACCGCCCCCAAACGTTTTTGCACCCCCGCAAATTATATCTATTTTGATTTGATAGTTTCGTATTTGATTATTCTTACTACTAAATTTGTAAAATTACCAATATTATGGTCTCAGATCTCGCCATGCAGGCCTAGAAACAAATTTTGTTAAACTTTTTCCTTGGCCTTTCCGGGCGTTGCCACACGCCCCAGCCAAAGCAAGCAGCAGCACCCCCCTCCCCAGATATTTATCCACCCCCCCCCCCAAACGAAAATATGAAAATCTGTCTCTGAAACATGAGGACCCTGGGTACAAGGTTGCAGCGGTCTAGACGTGTGGGAAAATGCACCATATTTGGGCCGAAAGTGGTGTTCGTCAAAATGCTTATACAAGTCATGCAACATATGCTTCACATGCATACCTTGGTTTTTGTTGCATGCCATATGGCAAGCAACTTTCATATAGCTCTACATTTTGTGTTGCGGTGTACCGGCGGTGGTCTATCACATGGCAGATTTGTAAAATACAGCAAATACCGAGTTTTTCCCACTGACCGCTTAATAGAGTTTCAAAACAATGAAAAATTAAATTTGGGACCATGGAAAGTTGACTGTGTCCACTTAATAGAGGTGACCATTCAATAAAGGTCACTTAAATAGTATTTACATTATGAAATTTTCGGGACTTTGCCACACGACTGCTTAACAAAGGGTGACCGCTTAATAAGATGCTGCTTAATACAGATTAGACTGTAATATGAAATACAGGGGTGGATCCAGCAAGCTTTTTTTAGGGGGGTGCTGGGTGAGCAGCCGAGTGTTTCTTTATAATTCTTTAGGGTGTGCAGGGTGCAGTAATTTGCATACCAACGTACCAGAGGTGCGCCAAATAACCACAAATTTATGGTCTGGTACTTCTTTGTTTTTGGGCAAGTACCACGTAGGTACGCGGAAATTTGCCATTTATGGGCCATTGCATTTTTTATCTGCACCCCCCTATTGAGGACATGTGGAATTTCCAATGGCCCCCTGCAAAAGTGAACCAAAAATGAAGGAATTTCCATGGGAGGGTCCAAATTTTAAAGCAAATCTGCGGAAATTCCAAAGGGTAGGTAAGAAAAATGAGTAAAACGTATGGAATTTCCATGGGAGGGTCAACAATGGAAAAAAAATTCCAAAGGATAGGATAAAAATCAGCAAGGAATAGCTACTAATCAAAGAATCAATATGGAATTTCCACTGGCAAGATCAAAAACTGTCAAGGAATTTCCATGGGATGGGTTAAAAGTTCATAAAAAATTTGCGGAAATTCCATGGGGATGGCTAAAATTCAATAAAAATCTGCGGAAATTCCACGGGGGAGGCAAAAAATTCGCTTAAAAAATGTGGAAATTCCAGGGGAGGGGGGACCAAAAAATGGATGTCCTCAATAGGGGGGGTTTGGTTTAAAAATGCAATGGCCCAATTTGCGTACTTACATTTTCCTTCTAGCAATAACTAGCAAACCTGCCAAAGTATTCAAAACCGTGGAGAACTTTAGCTGTACATGTAAATTCCACACATCCGACATATTTTGGGATGAAAAAGCCAAAAGGTTATCTTTGTGCTTGATTAAAAAATTTATTGTGATCGTCCGACTGAAACAAAAATCGCTCGGGTGTGTAATTTTAAAATCATTATCGTCAAACGCCGATACTTTTATCGTTTTCATTGTAGTGTGGACACCAACATAATTGTTTTACCAATCATCGTGTGTTTACAAGTTATCGTATCGTTATAGTTGTGTGGTGTGACCTGGGCTTAATTGTCAATGCTATACCAAGGCCTAAAAAATACCTGTGGTTCTGGTTTCGCGATATGAAACTGAAACAGGTCTTTTTTAGGCACAATGAGGAAAACTACACTGTATGTAGCTGAGGTCAGACTGTTAGCACCCTTGGTAAATCCACTGCAAGTCGAGTCACAACGTCGATGCTTTGAAAACTGTTATATTATGTTGTACAAATACCATAATTAAAGATTCATTTGTACAAAATTGCCCATATATTTTTTGCTTTTGGACCAGTAAACTATATGTAGGTATAAAAATGCATGACTCAGAAGTAGTCTTAGGTACGTCTTGACTCTTAAGTTTGTACCAGATCAGGTACGCGGCAAAAGTTGTCGGAGTACCAGTCAGGTACGGCTAAAAATATTGAATTATCGCACCCTGGGTGTGGTGGGAGAGCATTCAAATTAATTGGCTTACTAACGACTCGAGTGCTGAAGGCGCAAGGTCCTCAGGGGGTCCACAGGTTCTGTATGCCCCCGCCCAGGTTACTGTATGCAATTATAGTAATATATACTAATATATACTGTCTATTTCTATTTTTAACTGGTGCTGCCTTGAATGAATTTGATTTTTTCACACCCCCTTGGACCCCTGTTGACCAAGGCCAACAGGGGTGTGCACCCTCCTATAAATCCACTAATGATGAAATATATTAAAAATATCAAATAAAATTCTCATTAATACTATTGAAATTTAATACAACAAAATAGCATTCTACTTTGATAATTTCAATCCTAGTCAAGATTATTTTCAATCTATTATAGTAATTCACCATTTCCACAGGTTTATATACCTTCAAAAAGCCACAATAAAGCTAAATTTGTAGGAAATAACATTTAGTTATAAATTTGTAAAGGAAATGTATTAGTCAATCAGTGGTAAAACCTTGACCTTGTTATTACTGTCGCTTGCAACTAAGGACGAACAGTCGCTCATAAAAAACATTGCTTATTTGCGTGAGAATCTTAAGCTTTCTTATTTGACATAATATCTATTTTTCAACAAACATATTGATATATTAAACTTATTGAATCAATATTTTAAGTTTCTGGCCGTTGTACCAAAAGTTATAAGTGCCATAAGGTTTCAGATGGCATACAACATGTACGTACTATGTACCTATTTTTAGCGTTGTTTGTTGTTGTATTATCGCCGCTTTCGAATTGAATTCTCTCAAAATCTCGGCTGTTGCTTACCACATTCGTCTCCGTTTTCCTTGAAAAAACCTGATCGCTGTTCCAATTGTGCTTGAAGATCTCTTTGTTGACTTTGTTGTCTCTTCACCTTAAGAGACAACAAAGTTCAACTTCACCTTTGTTGTCTCTTCACCTAACCGTGCCTTAACATGCCATGCCCGGTTTTGTAGTCAAAATCCTTCTTCAAACCTCGTCAAATTATGCTAAAATATCACGTGATTGAAACCCAAGAATTGGTTTATCAACTAAGATGTCTTCTTGGTAACCTCTCAGTTCTACAATGTTCAGTGATGAGAAGCCAAAAATTATATACAAGTATCTTCCTAGCTTTTGCGTATTTTAAAAATTGTTTAGCGTCAGTATTGTATATGTGAATGCCAATTTATTGATTGTTTAGCAAACAGAAGCAGTGGAAAATGAAGTGAAGTGTTCAACTGAAGCTGCAAAAAGAAAACTCAAATTGATTTCTGTTGACTGTGATTTCGGAGAAACAATGAATATATATGTGGTAAGGAAATGTGTGGTATATAATATGTTAAAAATATGTTAAGAAATATCTACCATTTGAAAAGGACAACAGAGCACAGTGGGATTCAATTGGGTTCAAAGTTATTTTTCACTGGGAAAAAGAGATTTGGACTAGTACTGGGAATATTATTTGCACAAATCAGTGGGTCAGATTACTATCATTCAGATAGAATTATGGGTGGGAAAACGGGATTGACGCATTCCCCAATCACGACCCTCATTCTTCACAAGCCTGTGGAGATCCAGACAAAAGCCTGCATGGGGGTAGAGACGTTACGTTTAATGCAGCTAAGTATAGTGGACTTAGCATTGTTGAAGAAGCCTCTTGACCACCAGTGTTTAATTAAATTATTTATTTTCGTAATTCCCAATCAACATTTTTACACATGTAGAACTCGAAGAGAATCACGATTTTCTGGAATACTGGAAATGGAACAGCTGATATCACCAAAGAAGGGGAAAATTTGATTAAAAATCATTCCACATTATACTTTTACCCACATCAAGATGAGAATGTACCTGATGCAAATGCTGGGTCAACTGGTTAGTTTATATGTTGTATAACGTTGTTATGCTGTACCATACCGTATTGTACAAAATTAAATCGGGGGATGAGGGGGAATTTTGGAGCATCTCGAGGGTAATTTGGCAAAATACGCAATATTGGGAAAATACATAAAATTCGGTATTTGTTAAAACTGAAAATTCCATATTCCACAAACAAAAAGTGAAATAATTCCCCATTCCAAAACTTTCCCTCATCTTTTAGGATGTAGTATGCTTCAGTGCTTGTCATGCCGATCACTGCCATACAAGACTGGTCCCTTTTATTTGCTCTCAAATGCCATTAATTAACTAATATTTAGACTTTTTCAAGTGGACCCAATCTAAGTTAACTGCTGCGCAATCTTCAAAGTTCCAACCACAAACTGCATAAAACCTAAAATTATTCATTCATAACAGTGGACTCTTCCACGAATCTGGTTCAATCTTGTATAGATTAGATGGATATTTCGTGTGTAAATGTTATACATTTATAGATCTAACGAGGATTAGCTGCGGTTAAAAGCTGTAACTTGCGGTTAAAGTTTGATAGCTGGACTCTGTAACTCAGTTGGTTAGAGCGCTACACCAGAATCGCAGGTTCGATTCTGAGGGCTTGTACAGTTCGCAGCTGCGTTAGGTCTATTAAGGCCGTTTTCCACTAGGCGGAATTTTGCGCGCGGAGCGGAATTTTTCTTTGTCTTGTGATTTCTCGGGTGGAACTAATTAGAAAAGACAAAGAGTTGTGGCTTAGATTTAAAGTGTGTGTGACACGTGATTGTTCCAGTTGCAATTACAGTATACGTATAGTGTGGATATTTTTTATATTTGCAGCAATGCGACTTCTGCGAAATTATGGAAAAAGCATGGGCGCTATCTTTGGTATATCGTTTCTTCTCACAGCTCTCATCACATTAATTATTTGTTGTTGTTGTAAGAAGAAAACAACTCTGGATTTCAGCAAACAAAAACTGTCTAAAGATTCATCTGTATCCTTTTACAGAGAGTAAGTTCCTTATAAATTTACCGAATGCACACTTAGCATAGTGGATTTGGCATCTAAAGACGGAATATTTTCCGCCAAAACGATTTTTAAGGAATAAATTGTATGGCTATGGGTCTGTTGTAATGTTTGATAAACTTTTATAATAAAATTGCCGGACTAAGTGACAAACATTTCCATTTTCCGACTTCCCCTTAGCTCATACATTCACCGAGTGTTAGGGTAGAGGGATTACCACCCTCGCCCAGGAAGGCCTTTCTCGCAGCTGGCCACATGGAGGGAGAGGAAAATATAATTAATGATAGTAATTTAATCATATAACAGGATTGATATAATGACAAAATTTATCTTCCAGTCTTTTTTCCTTTTAGCGACAGTGAAGGAGATGGGCAGAGTGATGAGTCGGGTGACGATGAAAAAGTTGCATTTATCCGTAATAATAATGAAAGAAACAGCAGTGTATAAAGAACAAATTATTTACTAGGAGTATATTTACCATATATTGTCGCAATCTCGTACACATTTGATATTTTTGGTAAAGGATCATTTAAGACCAAAATTCTATTGACTCGCTCAAAACTGCTGCGGCTTAGCATTAACGGCTACGACCGAAGGTTGGAAATTGTCAAACGTTTAAATCTTTGCTAAAATATACAATTAACTATCAATCATGGGGAAGAGCACATGGTACTCTCCTCCACAGAGCCTTGTCATATTAGTCTTGGGAGTTTTCGAGCATGATTGTTTAATGCTGTACACGATTTTTTACGGCGAGAGAGGGAGCACATGATATACACTCACATTGGAAAATAAAGGGATGAAAAATGTGTGCTACATACGTAAAAATGCACAAGTTGTAACAAACCTGCAGCAGACTTGTAGCAATGCTGTTCCAACAACTTGTCAACAGGATGCGTTCGCACTGCTTGTTCCCAGCTTGTTGACAAGTTGTCAACGGCTTGTTGACAACTTGCTACAAGGTTGTTGAGCTCAACAAACTTGTTACAAGTTGTTCCAACAACTTGTTATCGTCCTGCAACTCAACAATTTGTCACCAAGTTGTGAGTGACAACCTTGTAGCAACTTGATAAAATAACAATATTGTTACAACTTGTCGGCAAGCTTGTAGAAGCTTGTTTGCGAACACATCTTGTTGACAAGTTGTGAGATTTTTACGTGTGTACCCCACGCGCGTTCATGCACCAATTACCTGAATACCCACGTGTTAAATTACAAAAAATTACCTGAATACCCACGTGTTAAATTATTACTTAGTTTATGTTGCACATAAATTAAAACCGCAAACGCCATGCGGAGGAGAGGGAAGTGCATGCATATTTTCAGCAAGCAAACTAAAACTGTCAAGTTCAAACATCGTAATTGTCAATATTGGTTTAAAAAATCCAATATAATGTATATTCAACGTTTCCAGTGCAGTCATAACGGACTATCAACAGTTTTGAGCGCGTGAAAGATATCTCGTAACAAACAGAAATACACTAAATGTAGCTACGTACGTACTGTACCACACTAGATGTGACGAAACATATTTCAGCAAACCTTTTTCATCAATTTATTGACGGCCTGTAAGATTATTTTCTCCACTAATGGAGAAATTTCTTCACTCATGAAATGCCTTTTTGTAATAGCGCATATAATTATTAAGGTTAACGTGTCAAAGGCTTTAGAATTATCTACCACGTCGACTGTAATATATTCATAATGTGCGTATAGACTATAGTACATTCTAATGTATTTTATTGTATATAAATGCTAGTCTGTGTTTCTAATCTGGCTAATAGCGTATGACTATATATACGGCAATAAACGACGTCCTGTAATTTTAGTAAAATAGAGAAGTAATAAAGTTTTTCTTGAATGAACGCCCTCTTTTGCGGAAAGAAAGTGCCCTTTTTGCAGTAGTAAAGACTCTGTAAAGGCCATTTCCAACGTTATAGAGACTCCATATTTTCAAAAATTTTCGTTTGGCTCGTTAACGACATAAAATCGTTTGATATTGGTCATATACAAAAGTGACCCTTTTGGCCAATGCCCCTCCATTTCAAAATGCTTCCGCGGCCTCTGCAAACGATATATGACGATAGCAAAAGAGAGCGGTTTTCGTACTACGTTTGAGGGAGAAACAGTTGGTGTTTTATTTGTTTGCTTTGTTAAAAACTGTAATTTTATATCAGAAAGCAAACAAGCATGCAAGCAATTAGATAGATCTGAAGCTAAAAATGAATACGAGAAGTAGTTATGGGGCGAGGGAATCTTTAAACTGGTTTGATGAAGGTTTTACAGAGACGATTAAATTAGAACAACGAAAGATTGCGAGTATACGTCATATCCATTATCTGCTGGCGTATTCCTGTAGTATATCACATTTGCAGACAACATTTCAGTCGCTAAGTAATTATTCCCGAAATTGTTGGCGAACGGGAGGGGAGGAGGGGTAAAACAATTTTCCGAACATACCATTTTTCACTAACTCCCGAATTAATGTACCTATTTCTTAAATGTTCGATAATATTGTGGTTAATTTTATCAAATTTTTTGTTAACTATTACTTTTTAATCCCAGCCACTCAAATATTCTCGCTGACTTCGAAAACAATTTGTCAATAAATCCGTTATTTTGCTGACAACATGTTTTCAAGGGGTGTCCCCCCTCCCCCCTATAGCGACAGCCCTGATTGTAACGGTGATGGATACTGGGGGAGGGTCAATAATTTCTGTACGTGAATGGTAGCTGAATAACTTTGTAACGAAGTGTACTATATAGTTTTTAAACCATTAAAGCCTATTGCATAAATTTAAGTTCAACCGGCATATTGTATAAATTTAAGGCGAAAAATTTTAAAATGAACCAAGATTTCCAGCAACAAAAGGTGGTAATATGTTGTCAACCTAAATCACCCCCCCTCCAATATTTCGCGACGCGTCCATCACTAGCTGCATTGCAGATTATTTCTTGTACCATAGTTAATGAGGAGATGGTTTGGAAACTCATTAGCATTACAATAAACCTCACTATCTATGTTTTTGTTCAGGTTTATATTTTTGCTCAACCAGCCAATAGCAACGGTTTTGTCCAATTGCCCATCCATGACTTTAACAATAGGACATTTTGAACATTCCTATTGGTTGACTTGAGAAAAATACAATACGCACGTGACGATGAAAGACCCCATTTTTGCATACTGCCTGGACAACATAGATAATGAGGTTTATTGTGATTTTATTGTAATGCTAACGAGTTTCCAAACCATCTCCTCTATTAACTATGGTAGCACACACTTTGCAAGATTTGTGCCAGTAGAATATCTCTCTGACTTTCGCAGTGTTTTGCCTTTTGGTTATGTCCACATGACGAACTGCCTACGAATATCAAAGCTTTCACAAAACTGCTGCATTAAGAGCATCAGTGTAATTTTGGCATGACACTTTTATTGTATATTTTTCTTTTTAAAGTTTTTCATATATATAGATAATTATTTTGTTAAGAACAATCTGTATGAAGGATCAATGCACTATATCACTTTTACGTCAACGAACATCCAACGAACATCAAGAGTTCGCTTACTGGATCCAGCTGTATACAGTAGGCTACCGAGCGTTTACGAGCCGGAATTATAAAATAACATGTATATAACGCGTGTTCTGATTGGTCAAAAGCCGTGTTTGGATCAGGCCATCCAAACACGGAAGACTATCGTGTTGTTGTTATTTTATAAAACAATTACTTTATGGTTTCCGTGTTTGGATGGACTGATCCAAACACTTGGGAATGTTGCTCGAGTTAAGAAAAGCGGGCAAAATCACTCGCCTTGGGCTCGTGATTTCGCTCGCTTTTCTTAACTCTCGCAACATTCCCGCGTGTTTGGATCAGGCCATCCAAACACGGAAACCATAAAGTAATTGTATAGGATAACACGTGAAAGCTCTTTCGGAGTTGACCAGCTAGCAAACTACAAGAACCTTGGATTCGCAGACGAGAGCAGCATTTCTCTCAGAATATTGGACATTTTCTCAATGCATGGCCATGGCTCATGGGGCGGATCGCTTCTCGAGAGAGGTATTGGCCCTACTGTGGCTACACATTCTAATGCAAAAAGATATAACAATAAAGATAGGACCATCTGTCTTCGTTTTATTGTTCGAGAACATAAATCAAAATGTAATACAATGCAAATCAGTACTTTTACTTATTAATATTCAGAGGCTGTATGCACTTGCCTTATTCGTCTAGCCCAACGCCAACGGTAGCTCTTCTTCAGACATATTCAACATCTCTTATTATTTCGTTGACACCGCACGGTCTATGCATGGTTTCTAATGAATCATTGTCTCTACGGACGTTTATTTGGCTTAATTGGTTCTTCAGGTAGTGGCTGTAACTGTAGGTGCAAATTCACGCTACGACATGTCATTGTATTGCCTGCATGTTGGTTCGGCACAATGGACATTTAGCGTTGCTGTCCAGACTGCAGAGTACGTCCGTTTTCGCCGAGATCTCGGGGGCGGAAAGCTGAAAAATCTCGGGGCAGGGGCGCAAAAATGTCCCAGGGGCGGATTCAGGGGCGGCCTTTGGGCGGCCAGCCTCCCAAAAGGCAGTCATTGCTGAAACAAGAAGAAAATGGCTTAATTTGTTTCACATCTTTTTTGTTTTCTTCACATGTCAACTCCGCTGCGACTGCGGCATAGTAAAATCACATCAACATCCAGTAACATCAAGTAATCAAAATCAGCATAAAATACCCCGCTGACACTTACTGGATTGCAGAAGACACGCTTCTTAATTTATGCGCAAGCTGCAGACACGCGGGAAATAAATAATAAGCCCCCGACAATTTTTGACATTTTAGAATTTTTACGGTTACGAACCTGTATTCGCGGTGAAACTCACTGCCGTCACACATAAATAGTTGTAAATATAAACTAGATAACTTTTACTATGAACACCAATATGCCATTACACCATCAAGTTCTGTTAACTTCTGGCTTCTGCCTTTTAATAGGCAACCTTTGGCAATCGGAAGACTATATTCAAGAACTGCATGTGTTAATATTAATAACATACGCAGGAAAATATACACCCTAGTACAAGAATGTTACCCATATTGATCCGGACCTACCAAGTTTCCCGCATTTCGTGTGAAAGTTACGCATTCTGCTTTTGTTCCCGCTGTCCCGCACGCATAACTAAAATGATCTTAAATTTACGCGTTTTTACTATTATATGACGCTATCCCACTTTTCGTACAATAACTCATTGACAACGCTGTGTGCAAACGTATAATTAGCTGGGGGTACATGGCCAAATACCGCTTTCTGAGGATCTGGAGACTCCAAATTTCCAAAATTTTCTCAATTTTCCTAGTCACATTAATCTGTAAGTAACACTGTCATATTGATCAGTAGTTATTTTAATTATCTTCATTGTTAGGCAGTAGTAATCACTAGTAAAGCATTGAAATCTTGGGTAGGAAAAACTCTAAAAATGCTATTTTCGACGGTCTAGAGAATTCAAATTTTCAAAAATTTTTGCTCGGCGCCAACCATGATAGCGCTTCGCGGGCGTCGCAAAATCAGATGAATTGAAACAGTTCAGGCGGTAAATCTATCCTCTCCCAAAGGCAAAGTCCTCGCAACGGCCCTGGTCACGCATTCTTATCTTCCGAACTTAGCACGTCTGATTGGTGGGCGGATAGTGCATGGAAAATTGTTGCATAATATATTTCGGGGGCGCTAAAATTTGTGACGTAACAAACCTCGGGGGCGCAATTGCCCTACTCTGCAGTCTGGGTTGCTGTCAATCGATGACTCGTACCACTCTACACAAGGAACACATCCAATTACTGAAAAGAAAGATGAGCAAGCAGCAGCCGGTAACTTAGCTGGGTTATGACTTAAGACGTACATATAGAACAGTTAAATATTTTGGTGAGCATTTCCCTATAGCTTGCTGTTCCACGGAAGGCTTTGACGTTGTAGGATGGCTTGCAACCTCTTGGGGAAATGGATCATTATCTTCAAATTAGTCCGCGTCATCTGTTGAGTCGGAGACAAGTGTCGAAGCTGCTCCAACACATCACTGTGTTTTTCTTTTCTTCTTATAACTGGACCTTTTTCTTACGTTAGCAGCTTGTTCTGTCCTAACTACCACAATTTTTCGATTACTTCTTCAAAATTGAGAACCTTTAATTAAAGATAGAGAGGCAATAGGATCATTAGTGGTCAGGAACGTTGCGAGGCTTTGCCTTTCCGGACATACCAAAAATTTTCCGAAGATATCGAGTAATTTTCGCGAACATATAAAAATTTTTCCGGACATCTCAAAATTTTTCCGAACATACAAAAAAATTTTTCCGACATAATTTTTTGGAAAATACAAAACTTTTTCCGGACAATTCTTAATTTTTACGAAAACACAAAACAATTTATCCACACATATACTTTCTTTAGCACTGAAAACTACCCGAATTTACATAAAAATCTACTTGAAATCTACCTGAATTTACCTGAAAATCGAATACAAATCCACCTGAAATAGCTCATGATCCATTATTAGGGGTTGCACCCTCCCACACGCCTCCCGGTCGCTACGGCCCTGTCAGTGGTTAACACATTAGCCGGGATAGATAACTATTGAAATTAGCCGGGATAACATGCAAAAAAGCTAATATATTAATATGGTGGAACTACACCACGATGCGTGTACTAGTGTATATGTCAATATCACTATCCAATCAGAGTATTTTTCTGCATTCACATCTTCAGTTTCTCGTATCTTTGTCATCCAATCATGTCTCTCCGTATCGCTTTTATCTCTTATCGTATTTATTAATTAAAGTGCGCCATACGCGAAAACTTGTATTTGAGTGGGTTATTTTACGGTCAGCCGGTTCGAATGAAGGCTGCCCAGTCGGCGGTTTACGGGTTCTACAGTTTACATTTACAACAACGTGTGCGAAAGGTAGTCACTGGCAGTGGCGTAACGTTCTGGAGGGTGTCCGGGTGTCCAGAGACAGGGGGTCCCCAAGCCTCATGCCCCCCGGCAAAAACGACCATATAACATTTTTGCTAGTACATTAGGCAAATTGCCCCGAGCCTCAGTTATAGAAGGCCCGGAAAATTTGCAACGGGTGACCCCGAAAAGCAGGAAATTTGGACCCCTTTTTTAATTAATGAATGGGGGGAAATTTTGGGACTATTTTTTTAATTGTCATAGTTCGAAAAAATTTTTCTCTTCCCCCGTTCGCCAACCTTTTCTGGAAAATAAAGGGCCCCACCACTGGCCCCCACTTAAAAATTTGACGGGAGCCCTCCAAAGGTTGCGTTTGTACGCCACTGGCGAAAGGTAAAGATGTTGCGTTACTGAAACTGGTGGTTTGAATTCTTGACTGTGCATGGAAAAATGTGTTTGAGTTTCCGAATATATGCCCTTAAAATTGGTAGTTTTTTCTTTTCGATCTCCACAGAAAATGCTAGAAAAGCAGTAATCGAGCTTCGAAAAGGTAATTGCAATTTACAACTTCTACAGTTCAAGTAATTTTTTAACTTTAAAATTTGAATAATTCGGTAAAATTCTTCAACCCCCCCCCCCCTACCCCAACTCCAGATTCTCCAAAACCCCTTTAACCCCGACTAAATTTTTCAGCATTTTATTGACTTAGTTTTCACTGTACATCAACGAAAACTGAGTTGATTATGAAATAAGTAACGGAAGTGAATAATGAAATGTTTTGCCTTTAGAATGATTGTGGTTCCTGCAAATCTCGGCTCCCTAAACTTGGGTTAATAGTGCTCGATCCATTACCCTGGATCAGGGGGTTTCCTGTTTTGCTGAAGCTGTACCAGAAAACCTCTGAACCCAGAGTATCGATCCATTGTCCAGTCGGCAAAATTTCCACGGACCAGGTCCACGAAGGTAGTCCCATTGAACTATAAATAAATAAATGATTTTTATTTATAGTTCAATAACTTCAATGGGTAAGTTCGCGGACGAGTCCACGAAGGTAGCTCCAGGCTCTGCATCACGCTCTGCATACAGTCCAACCTTAACCTGCGAACGGGCATGCTCCGGGCTGTGCTCTGGCATGGGTAATTTCTAATTGACGTGGCAAAGGAGTGAAGACATTCAAGAGATCTTGGAATGCTCAGATCAGTCGCTTTTATAATTTGTATAAATGGAGACGGAAAAAGGTAGGTGGAAACCCAAATGAGAAGACATGTGTTAGTTATTGGTGGAATATCTTATTACTGAATGGACTCTATTTTTTAAAATATAGCTGTGGCATTGACATGTTGTGTCCAGACTTACGCCTGGGGAAGACGGGGTTCGCAAAGTACTGCGGCCAGACTAGCACAACATAATCCTGAATTTCGTCTGGATGAAGGAACCACCTATGCAGAGGTAATTTTTAGATTTATGTCAAGCCCACCAGTACTAAATGTCCTAAACTCTCACCGGCTCAAGAATGACTGATCCAAATCTGACAGTATGACTGACACACTTTATGATGGAGAGATTCAGATTTCTGAGATTTGACTTTCACTGCTGCTATCTCTGCCTCTCACACCATTATAATATGCATCAAACTGGTTCATCAGATATATCAAATGTATCTGATTGGTTAATCGTCCCCCAGACTGGAAAGTTTGGAAATTGCACGCTGGAGATTTCGAAAATTTAATAGTAAATATATAGAAAGCATCAAAATTGCGTGCCGAATTGCACACTGGATCGTCCCTTAATATTAGCAGTAGCAGTAGAAGGGAAGTCAGTGGCGGCACCACAGGGAGGACTGGGGAGGACACATCCTCAATTCTTTTCATGATCAATTTTCTAATTCATCCACAAAGTATAAGAAATGTGTGTGTGTGGAGGGGGGGGGGACATTTGTAGCAGTGAACAAAATCTAGCCAACAATATAGAAATCAGCAAATTTGTGGAAATATTTAGCTTGCAAAATCTCATAAGCTTCTCTTGTGAATTGGTTTTATGATTATAGATCCAGTGATTATTGATATTCTATCTAGCAGTGCCTAAACTTCAACTTGCCCTGAATTTGTGACCTAGCTTGGATACATTTTTAAAAATTAAGACTGGATACAAGACTTGATTTGAATTTCTTGAACACATATTTTACTCTTGTTTTAATAAGGAGCTTGATCCATCAATGTATTTTAGATATCCAGGCCTTTATATACATAGGTGTAGTCATGAAAAATCATGAATTTCATGTAATTTATATGAGGGTCTGAATGGGGTTAACTGACTACTGACATTTGCCTGAATTTTTGACTGACAACTGACAAAATATCCTAACTGACAACTGAAAAATGATGAGAAAATGATGAGTCAGCATTTTGCAGTAACTGACTACTGACAGCTTGCAAAATATCGTACTGACAACTGACAACTGGCTTAAATTTTAGCTGACAACTGACACCCAAAGACCCCCATTAAGACCCTCTTATATAATTCTTTATAATCTTAACTTCAAAATGTTGAAAATTGCATTACAGGGGGGGGGTGAATAGGTTTTCGGATCGTCGGATTTCACAGAAAAAATTGTCCGGATTTCGGGTCTGGCGAATGTTTCACACAGATTTCGGATCTTATTAATTAATATAGCAGATTGCGGATTTATCTAATATTTTGGCTTGGATCGCGGGTTTTGCTTCAAATTCGGCGGATTTGTATACCCCTATTCACCCCCCTTTCAGAGATTCCAGATTTAAAAATTTCCTAAGGGAGAATACCCCCCCCCCCCCTACAGGTGTCTCACACATTTGGCACTTGACAACCTTTGCACCAGCACTGCAGCAAGTGAGATCTGAACCTCTCTAATATCCACCTATGAGTGCAATGTCACATGATTCACATGCCCTTCTCAGGGATTTTTGGCCCTTATTCCATGTGAATTATTAAAATGCCAGACATAACAATGCCAAAGTGAAGTTGTGCAATGCTAAGGAAATAAAACTATTATATAGCACTGTGACACTCAGGGGCGGTGCTAAGGGGGGGGGGAGGGGGGGTGGAACACCCCCAGTATCAGGTAGTTGGCAAAATATTGAATCCCAATCAGCAAATTGTTTTTGTAGTCGGAAAAACATGAATTTGGGCAGGAAGAAAAAAATTAAAATATTTGAGTGACATGGATTAAAATTAAGAATGATTGCTAAAATGGGGAGAAATTTATGAAAACATTTGGGAAAATGGAACGAACAACGGTGGTTAAACACAAATTAAGATGACAAATATTATGTCAGGAAAATGTTTTTTCATGGTGAGTGGAGTACCTCCCCAGCCAGTAATTTGGAAAAGAAATATTAATTAGTGGTTGAAGTGACTCGCATAATTTCTGTTGATAACTTGCCAAAATTCACTTGCACCCCTCCCCAATTCAAGAGGTCTAGCACCACCCCTTGTGACACAAATTGAATTGCCAGACCCATCAGAAAAGAATTTCTGTCTCTGTATTGATGGAAAGATCTGGTCCAGGGAGCAGGTTTTTCGAAAGTCTGGCCAAAATGGACATCCTTTTTATTTTATCCACATTTTCCCGTCTGTCTAAAGTCCAAACATTTTGTTTTCTTTTTGACAATTTGACTGATCTGACCAGTTGCACCATGAAATGGCAAGGGCCAACAGATGCAAACTGGTTTTTCCGTATTCTGCTATCATAGTCAACTAAAACTAGAAATGCATTTGTAATTCATGCTGCTCACCTAATAAGAACATACCCCTGTGTGGTCATTAGGTAATGAAAAGTCAAATGTGATAGCATTTTTGAAATTGATGAGCTAGTACTTTGATAGCCCAAATAGATGAAAAAAAGCTTACTCCCAGTAGCAGTCACAAAGTTGGTTGATGTTAATTGTTTTACAGAATATCTGTATAAATAATAGTTACATAAAAGGTTGCAGCCAACGAATGGCAACAAACAACAAATTGAGGTGCCACATGTCTGTCAGAAGTTGGGATCCTAGGTAGCAGGTTACCTGCAAGTGCCTGAAGCTAACTGCAATCACTGGTCAAATGCATGCTTAATTTAAATTAAGTAAAGTTGAAAATTTCAATTTTTCCGAATATATTTTGCAATATTTACCGACCTTATTTAATTTAATTAATAAGAGTCGTACTCAAGACGTAAATTCATCAAGTGATGCCATCAAAAACTTAAATTTTCCTGTTCTGTGGCTGAATTTTATTCATCAGCCGACAATCTTGTCGGCTTGATATATGAAAATTTTCGAGCAGTTGGGTTTGAGCAAATTAGCGGACATTCAATTTTGATAATATGAAACATAACTCAAAAAAGTTTCTTCGACCTCGGTGTCCGGTCCCCTGTCGCAATTTGCAAGCTTCAAGCGAAGCGGGCAAGTTTGGACCACGCAGGGCTAACTGCAAATTTTTTTGGCTACCTGCAAAAAAACTAAATATAGAGGCATGCCACATATTGAAATAGCATGCCAAATACCCCACTGAGATACCAGGATTCAAAGTTCTGAAAATACAGTATCTTACTTCTGGATACTGGTTACGATAAATTTTGGCGTCCCCAAACCATCAAATTAAGTATACAGTACATGTCTCTTATTGTATAAATTACATTATTACAATAACAACAGGAGATTGAACAGTTAACAACTAAAGCATTGAGTTGGAATAGTATAATCAGGCTGTGATAATTCAAGATTTTTAGTTGTACCTGACTTCAGTGATTATTGCCGCATAATGGAGCTAGCTAGTACA